AGAGACTGAGACCAGAAACTCATCAGGAAACTGTTTACTGAGCTCATAAATCATCAAGTCAGAATTACACACATTGTATGTTTAGTATAGATCTAATGTTCGTGTGCTATAGTGTTACAGTGAGAGCTGAACTCAGACTTTTAACGTCTTTAACTTTCTGATCTCCTACACAGACGTGAGATGAGAGTCAGAACACAGCGCAGTCAATGTAAAAGCTCTATCCTTGTCCACGGCCTCTCCAAACTCTTAATGTGAACACCATGAATGTCTTCCAGGAGAGATTGTCCTTGTACATCTCCCTCAGCTGGCTTTTCGAAACAGCCATTAACACGTTTGTCTTCCCACGTGTTCCAACAACACAACCTGGGTTGTTTGAAACCTAAAGGCCAACCACCCAACAGCTCACCACCCAGGAGACCCTATTCCGGGCAAAGTGTCTCCTTCCTGAACGCCGATCTATCGAGGTATTTCAATGTCTGTGACCAAACGCAGAGTGAATCTGGCGGTAGACATGTGACTGTCTGACAAATAGACACATCTAAAAACAGATCCTCTCATTACAAACAACCTCTCGTCTCTCAGCGAGCTGGAGGACATACCAGGACAAACGCACGCTCGACCCTCGCAGACGGTCCGGTTGTTAAAGGTCTCAGTAATGATGATCACTAACAAGCAGAAACGGCAGCCAGACTGTAACTTGAACGCACCTCGGCTTGTAAACTGACAAAATGTAAATGACCTCAAGAGTCCACACGTAGAAGAACTCCCACAGAGAACGAGAGGGCAAAACAGGAAACCATCTTTTAATTGGCCCGGTGATTGTTTTATTTCTCGTAACGTTTTCGAACCTTTTCTGTTAGTCAGACGTTGTTGGTCTGATCGTTTTATAATTACACTTCCTCATACAACCATAAGAATAAAATAATATGTATATAAATTTCACTGGATAATGGAGCACTCATTGTTATAATACTCTTATCATAAGAGTATCTGGTTCATTATAATGAACGACTATCAAAGTCTTGTTGCAGTTGCTTAAATTGTTAAACAAGATATTATAAGAAATAAAAATAATAATAATGTTAAAATATGTGCATTCAATTACAATATATAACAATATGTAGAAAATATAAAATAAGACATTTAAAATATGGTGCTAAAGAACAATATACATTATAATCACAGTATTAATGGCACAGTTAATGAGAGTATTATACATTAATCAGAGTATTTCACATTAATCAGATTATTGCACATTAATCACAAAATTATATCACTAAATAAAATAGCTATTTTTAAAGGTTAGATTATAATTTAAAGTAGCGGTCCTCCTAAATGTTACACACTGGACCTTTAAATAATAATCTAAACTTTAAAAAGAACTTTTTATGAAGATATAAACCGGATAAAGACCTGATCAGAGTGACAGAACTTCAGTCTCTGATCAACAGCCTC